GCAAGAGGTATACAGAACAGCGGTGGCTTTTGTATGTTCTTTGGTTTAAAATAGAGAGAGACGATGAAGGTGAATAGCCCTAAACCAACGATCAACAGCGAGCGTGCTCTGAAACGAATTATTTTGATGTTCAGGGTGCTGACAGCAAGTTTGGCGAACAGCACAAAGGATAGAGTAAGGCCAAGGATACAAAAAGTAAGATTAAAGTGTAATGAAAACGTAAGCTTAGACTTCAAGTTGAGCAAAAAAAACTAGACTAGGTGACAAAATCCTCGAACAGACTGTCATGTTAGCTTATTGCTCTGACCAATTTTATCGCACAAACACCTGGTCCAATTTACTTCTGATTCTTCCATGAAAATCCTTTTTTCCTATCCTCTCAATAACATGGTTGTGGTCGTTTCATTACGACAGAAATTCGGACCAAATGTTTACAAAATACCGCGCCCTAGCGGTAGTTTGACTTTCGAAGGAAACGAGGTCCAGTGCTGTTCTGAGGGCACGGTGGTGAATTTAACGCGTATTTGTTTACAGTGGAGCAGACTTACTTGTTTTTTTATTGACGTTTTTATCTCTGACGTTGGACTCCAGTAAGAGCCCGACAGCTCGGACGAATAAAATTATGATTCCGGTGATCGAAACGCCTTCTCCTTCTCTATCTACACTCATTATTTCCACTCATATTTTAATGACGAAACAAGGTCCAGAGGAGTGGAAGCGGCTGTAGGCGCAGCAACTGAAAAAAAGTTGAAAAGCCTGCCTGCGTGTATCATACTCGACCTGGTTCCAACTTCCCCATGAATGAACCTTTAGATAAAACAGAGTGTTGACAAGTCAGGAATTTGCCGTCGGTCGATTGCGTTGCAAACAGACTGCACGTCTATTCAGAGTAAAAAAAAGGTATCTACAAAGAAAACTAAATGGCCATTTTTTGCATACTATCCGACGTCTGTTAGTCCTAAGCAGCATCGAGTCTGCATGGTCTGATTAAAGCGATGAACTTGGAGAAAGTTGCAAGTGCCAGCGAGAGAATACTTCAATGTGGCGAGAGCAGCACGCGTTGTCCATCACCTCGTGTAAACTGCGTTTGGTCTCGCACCGATTCCAGAAGTTTCGATGGCATCGAGCGAAGGTGAAGTGTCTGAGTAATTCGGTGGCTGATCGCATTCTTAGCAGAATTTTTGATCCCAAATAACGGAAAGAGTTGACTATCCCAAGAACTGGATTGAGACCTGGCGGGCAGCATTGAGTGCGGTGCCGGGAACAATAACCTTCGTACGGAAGGAATGCAGTTGCAAACCCACTCCTGTTACCTCCACGCTGATCACAGATGTAGTTCTGCAAAGTAGCTCATCGGCGCCGTATGGACTTTGGTACACAACAGCACCGTATGCTTCTAACGCGGGTGAAGGAACCAAGCTAGCACATACAATACGCGCCGGAATTCGTGCAACATGCCGACATATGCGAAAGATTGATACTCTTTCGCTAATGGCATGTGACTCAGGTTGTGATACTGATTATCATGTAGTCTACTCTGAAGTTATTTCAGTCATGGTAGGCTACGGGCTTTTCAACGAGCTTCGTTCTAACCGCTAACAAAAGGTACGTAATGTAAAAAGTAATCACTTAAATAGTTAATTTTGAAAGCTACTAACTGCGACACTCGAATTTCAAAGTTTACAAACTGCGCACTGTGTACATCCTGTTTAAGGAAAAGTACGTTTTCTCCTACGGTTTGAGGAAGAAGTCACATAGTTCTCATAAAATATTGTAATGGATGTGGAGCATGCTTTATACAGGATTTGCAGCATTAATAAATTGACGGATACGGTGTATTATGGATGAACATCTTGAAATAGTAAAAAAGCTCATAATTAGACATTTTTTCTAAAACCGGAAGATATCCTTTCTTTAAATATGAAATTTGAAGAAGGCGTAATTTGCTACCAAACACGTGCAAGAAATATTTTTTGTTTACGTTTTCCCTAAATATATGTGAATTTATAAAGGAAGTCAAAATCAATGATTAAAACGCATACTATTTAAGTGGTTACTTTTTACATTACATACGTTTTGTTAGTGGTTAGAACGAAGCTCGTTGAAAAGCCGGCATCCTATCAAGACTTAAATAACTTCAGAATAGGCTACACGATAATCAGTATCACAATCTGACTCAATGCCGATTAGCGGAAGAGTATCAATCTTTCACATATGTCGGCATGTTGTACGAATTCTGGTGCGTACTGTAAGTGAACAGATTTAGATAGAAATAACGCAACCCAGATAGATTCCACGGACAAAATCTGAAAGGCACTCCCATCAACAATACCACGGACTTAAGCTTTTGTTCTGTGGCAGTGGGTGGACTGCGTTTAGCGAAATACCAGGATACAGCATGATCGACCAAAAGCAGAGCCAACAGCAGGTGCACAATTTGCGAAACGGCAGAGACCGGGCTCCGGGAATTTGATGAAGCGAGATATGCAGGTTAATACATTTCCGTCCCAATCGAAAGCCACACAGCTTTTTCGTCTGCACGTCTTGGTACAGACGGAAGTGACTGAGGGCAGCTGCGGATACTTGTGTTAATCTCGAGGAGGCTTATGCTTTAACAGTTATCGAACGGTAATCTGCCGTCTATTTTGCGATGAGTATCGTATTCGAGCCCTGACCTCAAGGACATGAGAAGTGCTCTAAGGATCATAATAAAAAGGAACTATTGTGGTCTGATTCCCATTATAAAGGAGAGCCGAAGTATCTTATCCGTTGGCAATGTTCCATGCAACAATCTGTTAGCGCATAGTGGGTCTCTGACACATCGATGTGGAAAGGTAACTCTGCATAGATCAAAATATCTTCTCTTGCTCATGCACTAGGGATTTATCTGAGTCTGACACCTGACTAAATATGATAGTGGTAGCAAAGGGTGACGTGGCGCCAGCACTCCATCTAACGTGCCTTACACGCGCGTCCAGACTGAAGGAATTTATGGATGTATTTTGTCTGTTTTGGTCTCGCGCGAGGACGACGACGCGCTCACAAAACATAAGATAAACACATCGGTTATAGTATTTTAAGTAATCACAGACTGCGTACTGCCTAAGATACCAGTTACATTAGAGTTCAAGCTTACCAGTAGGCTGCCATAGGAACCATGGTACTGAAAAGCAGCAAGGAAATTGTCACTGCAGCGATGGTATCAGGGAATGAGTCCGTCTGGCCAGTGCTCATAAAGACGTATGCGCACAGCACGACCATTGAGATCAGCCACCCCACCAGGGAGATGGGATTTAGTCGAGGCAGGAGGATCCGTGAGAGGCCTGGTACGGTGCCGCAGACAGACCGGCTAATATCCGAGGTATGCTCCTGGTTGAAGACACAGAACAGAATTTAAAGTGTCATGTTTATGAACTTTTTTTCACAAGATAGGGAAGTCAAAAAAGAAGAAGTTTAATCGTACCTGAAGCCAGTTGGACACGCTGGCCTGTGTGACATGAGAAAAGGCGGGGTTATCAACTGCGTAGATTCCGAGAGAGTGAAGAAGGAGCGTGAAGACAGCAGTAAATGGCATGTATTCCGTCTCAACCTGCGGGGAAAATGGGAAGGGGAAGTCAGTCTGAACGAAGCAGAACTGTTAATTCGATAGAACCCACTTTCGAATGCACTCGCGTGGTAACAGAATGTCTAAATTGAATGGGGAAGGCCTTTTGTGACTCGCCAAATAATAGTGGCTAAGAATGATTATCAATATGCCCACCAAGCGATGGCAACAGTCAGATTTCCTATCAAAGTGGGGAAAAAGCCCCGTTTCGCGCAAATTTTGCATATAGACATCATAACAGTTATATGCAACTTACTGTAGCCGGTTCGAAGAGGCATTCAATTGCCTCTTTTAACAGATAGAAGGAGGACAGAATGGCCAGAATCGTAGAGGCGAAGACCGCGATGACCTCAAACCGATCATATCCGAAGCAGTAGGTATTGACATTTGCCGATTGCTGTCGAACCCAAAAACTCACAAGAGCAACGACGAGGGCGAGCACATCGAAGAGAATGAGTTCGGAGAAAGCGAAGAGAGCCAGGCTGGGACAGAATGTGCAAAGCAGCCAGATGTTAAAAAATGGGCTATAGCAGATACGGGGGCGTAGGCTCGGGTTTTAAAAATGTTCAGTTTAAACGCATTAAGGGGTAAGAACATGTTAAGTTTGTTGGACAAGTTGGCAGTCGGTTTGAACATTTAGGCTACTGCTGAATCTCCCATCCTTGGACAAACGAATGGAAGGGTAGTAGTACGAAAAAGGGTGACTCTCGAACAATGGGAGGGCGAAAGAGTTAGTTACCTGCTACTCTGATAGCAGACCACCTTCAGAGCGATCAGCCCGAGGGTGAGAACAATCAACGTGAATAAGATGTGCCAGGCCTGCCTTGTCGTGCGCAGTAATTTCCCCAACTCGTTTTTGATCCATAGAATGGTCTGCACGCAGGCGGACAGGTCTTCTACGAAACCCAGCGCGATATCCCGCAGGATGGACAAAACATAAAAGCCCATTCTATAAAGAGTACAATTAAGTGTAAGTTAACAGTTAAAAATAAAAAAACAAAAGAAAAGGAAAATGGTTTCGATCAAGTTTAATTACTTAACATATACATAACAGATTTGGTGAGACGAGGAGTGAAAGACTTTACAAAATTATGCGCGAGTTTGCTTAACAAAAAGCATTTGTAATTATGGTTTCTGGACTTTTACTGTCCTGGCGATGGTTCTTCCGTAGGAGGGGGATTGTCGACACTGTCAGCGTCCAGTTCAGACTCCCACTTCGCCAAAACCTGATGGGCAGCAACAGCGTACT